TGACCAATGGCGCCAGCGCCTTCTTCCCTGACATGGTAACACCCAGCGTCCTCCCCCTGTCCCGACCCCTGAGAGGGTGAATTTGGGTGGGATGTGCACCCTGACCAGTGTCCCCATGCTGCAGGTGAACATGCTGGTGCTGGGCAAGCACCTGGGCATCCCCAAGCCCTTTGGACCACGGGTGGGTGGGCAGTGCTGCCTGGAGGAGCGGGTGCGGGCGCTGCTGGAGCCCCTGGGCCTCACCTGCACCTTCATTGACGACTTCTTCTCCTACCACGTCCTCTCCGGGGAGGTTCACTGCGGCACCAACGTCCGCCGCAAGCCCTTCGCCTTCAAATGGTGGCACATGGTGCCCTGAAGTGGCCTCAGCACCAACCTTCGTGCTCCTCCTCCTCCTCCCCAAATCCCTGTCCCCGTCCCCACAAGTGCCTTCAGTGGTGGTGGCCCTGGGCCGGTGTCTGAAATAAAGGGCTGCAGCTTTCCCCTGGTCTCCCTCTTGGTGGGTGCAAGGCTTGAAACTTTGATTTAAACTCTTTAAATCTTAACTCTTTTAAACATTTAAATGTTGGGTGTTACTTTTAAACTGTTAAAAAAGGGACGATGGTTTTTTTCACACTCTGGGTGGCACTTGGTGGTGCTATGGCACATGGGCATCGCTCTCCCAGCCCAGCAATCAAAATGAAATTAAAAATGAAAATTAAAGGGGAAAATAATGGGCTGAGTGGGGTTAGACTGTGCTCTGTCTTGCTGCAGCAATGCATGTGCACAAATATATGTGCAAAAAACCACGTATGCGTGCCCAAACCCATGCATACGAAAGTCTGTGTGTGCATGCAGGCATGCACGCACAAAACCCCATGCATGCAGGAAAATACACAGGTGCATGCACAAAACCACACGTGCGTGCATTAAGATACTCCCTTGTGCCTGCACTGCCCTGTGTTTGCACCCTGCCCATGAAATACTAAAGGGAAATACGAAGGTGGGACATATTCTGGGGTGGAGGCTGCTGTCGGCTGCAGGATGGTGCCCTCTAACGGCAACCGATTTGCTTTGGGGGATGCGGGGTGCAAAAAGCACCCCCTGCACCCCCCCCTTTGGTTAAATTAAATTTAAATTAAAAAATAGAGGGGAACAAAGCGAGCGGAGCCAGGGGCGTACACAATGACGTCGTTTATTTAAACATTTACTCCCAGAAATATAAAAAACAAACCGTGAGGACAACGACAGCACTAACCCAGGACCCAGGCAGCGCAAGGACGAGTTCGGCCCAGACCCTCGGCCTTTCGCATTTTTTTCCCCCTTTCTTCCCCCCTGACGGGGAAAGAAGTTGGATCAGGCCCAAAAATATTTTGCTGGCGGTCACATGAACCAAAATGCAGCTTTTTTTGGGATAAAATTGGGTTTTTGGTGATTTCTCCACCTTGTTTTATTGGGGTTGCAGCATCCGCTTGTGCCGCAACCCCCAAAAACGAATATTGCTAAAAAAGCGGAATATTTGACTTTTCTGCCCATCTGCACTCCCTGTCCTGGATATTTTCTCTCTAACCGCCCCCCACCCCAAAAAAAAATCCCCAAAAATAACCCCCAACCCCAAAGCAAATAAAAAAAAACCCAAACAAAAAAAAACCCCTTTTTTTACTGCAAAACTCCCCGAACGGGCGCGAACGCCGCCCCCGAGCACCCAGCGCGACCCGTCGGGGAGAGAGGACTTTAAAAAAAACATCAATTGTTGTAAATAAATCCTAAAAATTCCAAATTAAAACTAAAACCAACATCACCCTTGGGTTCGGGCTCTGCTCGAAAAGGCACCTCGTTTCTCCAGCACAGTGCACAGCGGCGTAGGAGGGACTTTGGGCTGATACCAGGCGGAAATAATTAACGATAATTAAAAAATCGAAGGAAATTTTTTAAAAAGAATAATTTTAGGGCTCCCCTTCATACCTGAGATCGCCCTGGGGTGGGCGAGGGCTGCGATAAGAGGGGAGGGGAACCCCCAAAATGCTGCTGGGGATGGGTTTTAGCCCTTAGGGGATGTGGGGTGAATCCCTCCGGGAAAAGGGATGCTGGAGGGGGGAACGCACCCCCAAAATTATAGCACCCAAAGCGGGGGGTATTGGGGAAAATTACTGAAAAAATAGGAATATTGGGGAAAAAATGAGGCATTTTGCAGCCTCTTTTAAGCCGTGGCCGGGGTAGCTGGGAAAAGGGGAAATACTAAAAAAGTGATGCAGAAAAATACAAATAAAATTAAAATAATTTAAAAAAATAAACATCCCCCCCACTCAAAAAAAAAAATAAGCCTGGCTGTGCCAAAAGATCCTGCTACGGTCGGGAACTCAAAAAGCCCTGGGGGGGGAAAACACAAACCACCCTCCCCTCAAAGCTCCGGAAATGGGAGGACAGGGGGTTAAAACGGTGGCTGGCTTGGAAAAGCGGGTTTTTGGGGGGGCCCCCGGGATGGGGGGGGCCCTCAGATGGTGCGGGGGTTGTACTCGGGCAGCTTGCGGAGCTTCTCCTTCTCGGCATCTGTCTCGTCGCGGGCGATCACCAGCGAGTGGGCATAGCCCATGGCCACCTGGGGACACGGGGAGGAATAAGAGTCGGGAAACTGAGGCACGAGGGCTATGTGCTTCATTCTCCCCTGCTTTTACCCTCCTTACTTTTGTCCAGGGCTGTGTTTGAGCACCCTACGGGTGTGATGAGTTGTGTATGGCCTCAGCAACTGCATTTCTTTGAGGGGGGGCCCCCCCATGCACCCTCCCTTCAGTGATGAGTTGTGTGCAACCTCAGCCACTGTATTTATTTACTGAGGGGCCCCCAAGCATCCTCCCTTCCACATCCCATTGTTGCGATAAAATATGTATTGCCTCAGCCACTGTATGTATTTAACGGGGGGCCCACACGCCCTCCCCTCAGTGCCCCATGGATGTGATGAGTGGTGTATGGCCTCAGACACCGTATTTAAGGGGTGTCCCCCTCATGCACCCTCCCTACAGCACCCCATGGGTGTGATGAGTTGTTTACAACCTCAGCCACTCTTATTTAAGTGGGGTGGCTATGCTCCCTTTCTCCAGCACCCCATGGGTGTGATGAGTTGTGTACAACCTCAGCCACTCTATTTAAGGGGGTGTCCCCTCCACTCACCTGCTCCGTGTAGATCCCATCCAGGGTCTTCACCTCTTGGGCAGCCGTTGAGGATTTGGGCTTGTGGTCCCCGTAACCCTGCCGAGTGCATCCCATGCAGGGGGGCAGGTAAATATCAACTTAGGGGGGTGGGAAGCAGCTGGTCCCCACTGCCTGTGGCTAAGGGGGGAATGTTGGGGTGTCGAGGGGTTGGGTGGGGTCCCCAGTAAATCCTTCTTACCAGTTCCCCGAAGGTGGGCGAGGGCCCCCAGCTGATGGTGCTCTCGTCCGCTGCCACGATGATGCTGCTCTTCCTGCAGAGGGGTGCAAGGCAGGGTGACCTCCCATCCCCCCTCAACTGCCCCACAGGCAGTTGCACCCCAAAAAGCAGGGATATTGGGCTTTTTCTGGGGGTGGGTGAGACTTACCCGCAGGCCAAGCTACGGATTTTCCAGCCGCAGAGGTCCTGCACGGCTTTGGGGTACATGGTGGACTCGCGGGAGGTGTTGGTGGCACCCCAAAAAAACAAACCGCCTGCAAACCCCCAATAACGTCAAGCACCAGCACCGCCCCCACTAAAGAAAACCCCAAATAACCACAAATTTACTTTAAAACCCCCGAAGCCTGACCTGTCTCGCTGACGGCGAAGGAGCACGTGTAGCCGGCGTAGATCTGCGCCGCCCCGCGCCCCGGGAAGTCGAAGAGCTTGACCAGCCGAGGCACCATCTCGTCCTTCTGCTCCGCGTGGCCCAGCCGCCCGTAGCCCCCGAAGCCCCAGGAGAAAACGCGCTTCTGCGAGTCCAGCACCAGCTGGGGACGGAGAAATGGGGTCCCCCCTGCGCCGTCAGGTGCTGAGACCCGACAGCTCGGTGAAGGGTAAGCTGCAGCGGCCACAATGCATTGCATCGACTGCAGGGTGTATTGCAAGTATGAAATGCAGGCTGCAAATCTTCAGCCCTAAATGCAGGCTGCAAATATTTATCCTTAAATGCACCCTGCAAATCTTCAGCCTTATATGCAACCTGCAAATATTTATCCTTCAATGCATTCTGTAAATATTTATCCTTAAAGACACTCTGCAAACCTCACTCCTTAAAGGCATACTGCAAATCTTAGCCTTAAATGCACCCTGCAAATATTTATCCTTAAAGGCACGCTGCAAGAATTTATCCTTAAATGCCCACTCCAAACCTCAATCCTTAAGTGCACACTGCAAATCTTTAGCCTTAAATGTACACTGTAAGCATGGATCTTTAAATGCAAGCTGCAAATCTCTATCCTAAAAATCTGGATCCTCGAATACACGCTGCAAGTATTTATCCTTAAATGCACACTGCAAGTCTCTGTTCATAAACGCACACAGTAAATGTCTGTGTTTAATGACACGCTGCAACACTACATCCTTAAATGTGTGCTGCAAATCTCAACCCCTAAATGCACACTGCAAACATTTATCCTTACGCACACGCTGTAAATTTCAACCCTCAAATGCATGCTGCAAATCTTCATCCTCAACATGCACGCTGAGAAACATTACCCTTAAAACACACACTGCCAATCTCCGGCCTTAGATGCACTCTGCAAACATTTATCCTTGGACGCACACTGCAAATCTTGATCCTTAAATGCGCCCTGCAGACCTTTATCCTTAGATGCATGCTGCAAACCTCTATCCTTGAAAGCATCCTTACATGCACCCTGCAAATGTTTATCCTTGCATGCACCCTGCAAACGTTTGGCCTTAAATGCACGCTGCAAATCTTTGGCCTTAAATGCTCCTGCAAACATTTACCCTTAAATGCATGCTGCAAACCTTCCTCAGTTAATGCAAGTTTTTACGGTTAAATGTGTGCTGCAAATATTTACCCCATATGCACGCTGCAAATCTTGATCCTCACATGCATGCTGGATTTATCCTAAAATGCACGCTGCAGCTCTCTAGCCTTAAATGCACCCTGCAAACATTTATCCTTAAATGTGTCCTGCAAAATTTTACCCTTAAATTCACCCTGCAGATCTTTACCCTTACATGTACCCTGCAGACCTTTACCCTTAAATGCCCACTGCAAATCTTTCTGAATTAATCCCCGCTGCAAATTTCTAGGGTTAAATTCCCGCTGCGAACCTGTGCCCCTACCGTGTGGTTGGCTCCACAGGCCACGTCCCGCACCACCACGTTGGGGACGGGCAGGATCTGCCCATCTTTGGTCTTCTCGATGAAGATGGCCACGCGCCGTGGCACCAACTCACAGTCGTACTCAATCCGCTGCGCCCGGGCGATGAATTTCCCGTCCGAATTATGCCCTGCGGCCAAGCATTGGGGTGAAAATGGGGTGTCCCCCTCCCGCACTCCCAAATTTCGAAGCAGAAACACCGCCTCCTCTTGCAAACCCCTTTTTATTTGCAGCTCCCACCTCACTGCAGGTAAAGGGAAGGGATGCTTTGGGTGGGGAAACTGAGGCAGGGAAGTTTTTTCCCTTCCCCTCCTCCAGAAAAGCTCCAAATTTTAGCAAATAGCCCCAAAATGGCATCGTACCCAGCTGCCCGTACTCGGGGCACCCGAAGGAGTAGAGGTTTCCTTTGCAATCCATGATCATGCTGAATTCGGCCCCGCACGCCAATTTGGTGATGGGCTGCCCGTTGTACATGATCTGCAGCAGAAACAGAAAAAACAGGGGTAGCAAAATAGGAGAAAAAAGGCAAGAAAGTTGAATTTCCCAGGAGGAAAGCCCAAAATCCTCAAATCTGGGGTTTTATCTTAAATTCTTGCATTTTATGTCCGCACCGCATCTGCAGATGAAGCCCTCCATGCGAGGGATGCCCTGGCATCCTAAAAGGGTTTGATCTCTGCTAGGGTTTGCCGTTTTTTTTCCAGGGGAAACCCCCAAATCTGTTTTTCCACCCAAGAAAAAGCAGGGAAAGGCGCAGTGATACCTGCGTCGGGCTGGGCACGGCGTCCGTCTGGTTCCCCAGCCCCAGCTGCCCCATTTTATTCTCCCCGAAGGCGAACACCGAGCCGCTTTCTGCAATAAAAAATAATAATAATAATTTCCAAAAGTGGCGTTTTGGGACAAAACGGGCCAATTTCAGCCAATTTCAGGGTTTTTTTTACCTGTCAGCGCCAGCGTGTGGTTCCGGCCGCAGGCTGCCACCACGATGGCTTCGCTCCCCAGCACCTCGATGAGCTTCGGGGCTTCCACCCGCTTCGTGTCCCCATGGCCCAACTGCCCTTTTTCATTGCGACCTAACCCCAAAACCTCGCTTTTTCACACCAAAAGCCTCCTGGCATCACGGCGTGATGCAATCAGGGGAGTTTTGGGGAGGTTTTTTTGGGGTGTTTCCCCCCTCCCCGGCTCACCCCAGCTCCAGAGCTTGCCCTCGG